ATTGTATTTCAATTATGTATTGTGTTGCTATTCTGTTGTTTTGAAAAAAAATTGTAAACTTTATTTTATAAAAATATAAATTAAAAGTTTATCTTGAGGGAGGAGAGGTTGTAATATCTGTTATTTAACAAATAACTATATTTATTATTGAAATGGCAACGCCATATTTGTATAATGTAACCGTTGCTCAGCAACGTAAGAAATTGTTTAAAAAAAATTCTGAAGTTTTACCAGTAGTAGATGCTTGTAAAATTTGTAACTAAAAGACTGTGTTTAAATTATCTATCTCCGTAAACTACACTCATGTCCATAAATTAAGGATAATGCAAAATCAGGCAAAGGAAGAGTTAGAAGCAAAACAAATCTGACTTATTTGTAAAGCTTATTTATTAAACAAAAGGTAAAGAGAGGAAAAAAAAAAATGCTATATGTTGGATATTATTAAAAAAAATTAGCGATTTTTTCTCCCTGGAGCAAATTACAAAAAAAAAAAAAAAAAAAAAAACAATATTACATGGTTGGTATGATTGTTAATACATTGTATGTCTCCCAGACGATGCAATACAGTCCGTACAACGCCTAGGCATGCTGAGTATCAAATTATTGACCTGATCTTGGGGGATATTACACCACTCAAAAAGCAATGCTCTCCGAAGTTCCGGCAGACATGTAGGAGGAGGTTGACGGGCCGCAACTCGTCGGCCAAGCATATCCCACACATGCTCTACTGGATTCAAGTCTGGTGAGAATGCTGGCCAGTCCATAAGGGTGATATCCTCTGATTGAAGGCATTCACTTACGATGTTTGCATGGTGAGGATGGGCGTTGTCATCCATAAATGCAAATTGTGCGCCCTTGGCGCCCCGAAACAAATGTACATGTTGTTCCAGAATGACATCCTGATAGATTTGGCTTGTCATGGCTCCAATTTGAACATGTAGGTCATTTCTGGAAACCAGAATAATTCCACCCCAAACGAACACTCCTGCCCCACCGTAACGGTATCATTCAATGATGTTTTCTTGGTGGTAACGGGTACCTGGAGCCCTTTATATGAAAGTCCGACGAGAATGAGACTGCAAGCTAAACCTAGACTTGTCAGAAAACATCACACAAGCCCACTGTTGCAGTGTCCACAATGCATGCTCTCTACTCCAGGCTAGCCGCAGGCGACAGTGAGTTGCAGTAAGTGGAACGCATCTGACAGGTCTATGAGGATATAGACCTATCTGCCCTAAGCGTCTGTACACAGTCTGCCTTGAAATTATCGTACCAGTGGCTGAAGAGAGCTGATGAGACAGGTCTGAGGCTGTGCTCCGCCTGTTTCTTTTGGCGGTAACTGCCAAACACCGGTCCTCATTCGGCGTTGTAACTCTGGGGCGACCTGTGCTGTAACGTCTACTCACATTACCATCATCTTGGAATCGTTGCCAAAGCCTGGAGATGACACTCTGGGCAATTCCAAGTTCGTCTGATACTTCCAGTTGGGTACGCCCACATTCCAGACGGCCGATAATTCTACCATGTAAAAAATCATCCAAATGCGTCCTTTGTGTCATAACTATTCGGTTTTATGGCACTGAAATGCTTATAAAGCGCCTGCAAACACATTTTTTCTTTGCCTGTATTCCTTATATATTACTCTCTTCCACTCTCGTTATTGTGACGTACCATCGGTGTCATCTGGTTACTTCCTGAAATTCGCATATGATTCTTGAAGATGTGTGTAGTGATTTTACAGGTGATATACGAGGGCCATCCAGGAAGTAGATTACGTTTCCGTCTGTGTCCGCTAGGGGCGGGGCTAGCGCGGCCATCTTGGGGTCAGAGCGTTGCACAGCTCAGTCTGCATCTAGCCGTGCTAGTGAGAGGTTCGTGCTGTGCTCCGTTCAGATACTGTGACGGTTTGAAATGTCTGCGTTAATTGAAAATCCCGCGAGCTGCGAGGTGCGCTCAGTAATAAGGTTTCTGACTGCAAAAAACTGTAAACCGATAGAAATCTATCGGCAGCTTCGTGAAGTGTATGGGGACAACATTATCACTGAAGGTGGAGTGCGTCAGTGGGTCATAAGATTTCAAAATGGCCGAACCAATGTTCACGACGAAGATCGAAGTGGGAGACCCAGCATAGTGACCGCCGAACTTCTCGAAAAAGTCGATGCTAAAGTCCGTGAAAATCGAAATTTCACAATAACGGAACTTTCTTTGAGTTTTCCACAAATTTCGCGAAGTTTGTTGCACGAAATCATCAGCGAAAAGCTTGGTTACCACAAGTTTTGTGCAAGATGAATTCCAAAAATCTTGACAGAGGACCACAAAAATCAGCGAATGGCTGCAGCGTTGAACTTTTTGGACGCTTACCATAAGGATGGTGACTCTTTACTCGATCGCATCGTTACTGGTGACGAAACATGGGTGAAACATGTGAACTGTGAAACGAAATTGCAATCAATGCAGTGGGGGCACACAAGTTCTCCCCAAAACCCCAAGAAATGCATGCAAACAATGTCGGCAAGGAAGATGATGGCGACTGTTTTTGGGACAGAAAAGGTGTAATTTTGGTGGACTTCCTGGAAAGAGGCACTACAATAAACTCTCAAAGGTATTGCCAAACTCTCCAAAAACTCAGAAGAGCAATTCAAAACAAGCGCAGAGGAATGTTGAGCTCTAAGATCTTGTTGATTCACGACAAACGCCCGGCCCCACACGGCAAATGTCACTCGTAAAGTTCTTGAATCTTTTAAGTGGGAGTTGTTTCCTCATCCGCCGTACAGTCCCGACCTGGCACCGAGCGACTTCCACCTATTCCCAGCAATGAAGAAGTGGCTGGCTATGCAGCGTTTTGATGACGACGCACAGCTGCAAGAAGAGGTAACGAAGTGGTTGAAGGCGCAGGTGGCCGAATTTTTCGACGAAGGAATTTCCAAGCTCGTACATCGCTACGATAAATGCCTTAATTTGTATGGTGACTATGTAGGAAAGTAGTATTTGAGTGTGGCTTTCATCTGTATATAATAAAATTTGTTTCCTATACTTTGTTTATTTTTTTATTCCAAAACGTAATCTACTTTCTGGATAGCCCTCGTATTTATTTTAGAGTTCGATTTCCACGTGACTCCGAATTATCCTTAATTTATGGACATGAGTGTAAAAATAAAATTTATGTTTTACCAAGAAGATTATCTCTTATTTTGTCAATTACTGCAAAATGCATTACAGTCTAAATATAAATTTAATTATTCATTTGCATAGAAGAAAAGAAACTAATTACTTCATATATAAAACATAAATAGCTGATAATTAGATGCATAATCCAGTGTGCATTTTAGATACATGAATGATGAAAAATAAATTTTATCGATTTATAAATAATGTAAAAAATCTAATAATTATTTAAATAACTGATATAAAATTATTACATTTATAACAAAACAACCTAATGTGGTTAATGTAAAAATTCTAATAATTTTCATATTAGGATAATTCTGTTAATTACAGAAACAATAAAAATTTTTTTTTGAGAAAATAGCTCAGATGGATTCAAACTTGTAGCCTGATAATCCATGCAAAATTCAGCACTTTGTAAATGTGCCAACCAATTGAACTAACTAGACTTAATCTAAAAACTGAAAATTCACAAACAATAGGAAATCGAAAATATGATGAAATGCAAAGTAGCAAATAAATTAGGCTTTTCTTGTTTGTCAGATGTCTTATAATGTAACTCGGACGTCTCATATATAGAATATTTATTTTTATTTATGGGGATGACTATATCCATAAATGAGAAAAATATTCCAGCATATTTAGTTAATGCTAAAAAATGAATAACAAATAATAACAAATCACTTGAATCAAGGTGGAAAAAAGTGTTATTTATAAAATTAAATGTTAAATCATAATGAAACTGCTAAAATAACAATAAAAACTCAATTCAAGGCATATATCATTTAGTAAGCAAAATACTTATTCAGTAGCCACCATTGCTTTCTGGATGTGAATTTTTCATATTCAGTTTTATACGCTGTTGTCAAATAAGTTTCCAGCAATATTGCATCTTGTCACGGTCAAGAATAAAAAATCTGGTACAGGAGCCTAAGACATGTCTTTGACGTACCAGTGATATGCTTCTTTGTGTAGAAGGACTTATCATGCACCACAAATACTGAGAAATACTTGTTTGGATATATGTATCTTTGTATAGATGGGCCTTAAGTACTGATGCATACTTGCGATCCATAGTGTCATCTACAATAATGAGTGGATCCAGAAAATAACATGGAGATATTTTCCAGACAGTAACATTGCCTTTGTCATCTTACATCCATCCATAAATGATCGAGGAGTGTTTGTTCCTTGATGTTAGTCGCTTTATGCAAAATATGCATTCATCTAATGGAACAACAACAACAACAAAAAAAAAAAAAAAAAAAAAAAAAGGTTTATTACAGATGGGAATCTTTTGCCAATAGTGAAGGCCCATAGTTGGTGCTGCTATGCAAATTCCAGCTTCTTCTCTTATAAACAGTTAGCAAAGGTGAGGTCACTCTTTGTTGCAGAGCCATATATGCAGCAAAATTCACCAAACTATTATTTTGGAAGCAATTGACGTAGCTCTCCAATTAATTTGAAGAGTAAAGTGTAACATGCCAATTAGCCTGAATGCATTGCTGAAACTGCATTTTACTTCTCATCAATGGTTCATGCTCCAAAGGCAGAGGAATGCAGCTGAAAACTCGTGTCAGTTAATATACTTATGTATAATAGTGTATTGTATATATATATTATATATCAAATTATATGTCATTACATAATATTATATGTGATCAATTGATATCTTATATTGAGTAATTATAAGCATGGATCAGAATAAGTACAGACATTTCAACTTACAATACTGCATAAAATTTAAAAAATGCTATTATGAACTTTGCTTTAAAATACATATTACTATTATAAACATTTCAGCTTATAAAACAACTTATAAAAGTTTGCATTACCTGTTTTTTGTCAATCATTTTAGCAATAGTTTTCAAGGCACATCCGTTTGGAATAAAATAAGCCCATCTGAAAGATCTTCCATCTTTTATAGACTGAAATAAAAAGTCATTAATTCTTTAGATGTAAGATTTTACATATTTTTAGGTATCATTCTCTACTAAAATTTTGAAATAAAAATAAGTAACTCCTATGCAAAAATTTACAATTTTATAAAAAATATAGCAGATAAATATGAGTGCAGATGCTTATACACATATCTAAAATTTATACGTAAAAGACAAAAAAAAAATCTCTACAAGTATAGAGAATGAAACTATGAAGAGCAATCAAAAACTCATTTAGGAGGAAGAAGTGAAAATTGCACACATTCAGGTGAAGAGTATTTAATAGCTATACAGTCAAAAGTCGTTAATTCGGACACCCATAATCCGGACCTCAAAGCTACAAACTTTCTGCGCATGCGTTGTGTTGACGCATGCGCGTAAGACCTTTACCGCTGCGAATTTGCGTGTGCGCAAAATACGTTTATGAATGCGCGTTTAATGTATAACGGACGGGATAAGCTAAGCTAAAATTATCTATTTCAGTTAATGTTGCAGATTGCGTTGTTCCTTAATCTTCGAATTGGATCCGGATTATTATTTTTTGCAGACTGTTAGAGCAATTTTATAAAAGTAAGCTTAAACTTTCGATTTTGTCAAATAGAATTTCCGGTATATATTTACTAATATGTAAAGGATATACAAAGCGAAAGTATCTTTCGGAGTCCATTAAACAAAAAGTGGAATTGCTGCAAAAAATGGATAAAGGCATATCCTTTGTTTATCTAAACTTTAACGTTTCTTTATCTAAACTTTGTTTATCTTTTAACGCTGCCGCGGCGTGCAATGAATTGGAAGTTGATCTGTCAGCACTATCCTTATCTTAAGGGCAGATGATTTTATTTTATTTGGCTTATAATTGCTTACTCAATGTAGTATTTCATCTCAATGTACTCCGTCTTTGATGATATGATTTAAATCAAATGCCTCGTCATTATAATTCGCTTCCGATAGGGAAGAAAGTGACAGAGGTTATTGAAAACGAATAAATTTCGATTGACAAATTAGTCGGTATTCTCGACACAGCAATTATAGGACTTGAACAGCGGAACTTTGTAACTGAACAAGAAATTATGTCTATTTATAGAATTAAAGAGAATGTATTATCACATAAAAAACGAAGCAACTTAAACAACTTACATTGAAAGAAATGTTTAATAAAGTAAACAAATAAATATTGAGCTTTTTTTTTTGTAAATTTTGATACCCTTTAGATCATAATTGTTCTTTATTTCATAAATTACGGTTTCATATTTTTAATTTTAATAATTTCTGCATGCCATTTTACCAGATTTAAACTGATGATCTATAATCCGGAAAAATCGATAATCCGGAATCGCCGAAGTTCCGACGAGTCCGGATTAACGACTTTTGACTGTATATAAAATGTTAATAACATATTCAATATCAATATATTTTTAATAGTCTAAATGATATCTACTGAGATTTAAAATATGGACAAAATTTAATTTCAAACTGTAATCACATATTTTTATTTGAAGCACACAGCAACAGAAAGCTTCCACAATGATTTGTGCAAACATTAAGAGAGAATGCCTTAGATTATTTCATAGATACTAAATAGATAGCAAGAATTTCATCCTCTAAAAATGTCCTGTGAAGGTAAATCATCATCTTTTATCCAACCACATGAGTCACAGATGAATTAATTGCCAAATTGGAAAACATTGTGGCATTAAATAGACAAATGACTATAAAATGTAGCAGAGATAGGTAACTAAGAATAAATTTTAAGAAACTGTCTCACAATTCAAAATATTTGGGATGAATATGTACTTCGAATTTTAACAAAGGTGAAGAAAAAAAGATAGTGAGAGAATTTTAGAGTTACTTTCAACAATGTTTTAGAGGGATACAGGTTTTATACAGACATGTAACCATGAGAGTAAATTATACAGCATGACCTAAAAACATACTTCTTCTCCAACATGCAAGAAATTTTGGGTGTCAGCAACAATAGCCGAAATTATGGCAAGTGTATTTTAGAATGCCAAAGGGCCATTGATGATTGATTAGCCTCAACCTGGAAGCAAGCATGCACAATTAATAGCAAAATTACACCAAAGAAATTAAACATATACAAAGGAAAACACCAAGATAAATGCATTATCATAGGAGGGGGTTATAAAAACAGGGCAGCACTACTACTCATAACAGTTCCCAAGCAATTATAACATTACTGCATACTGATTATCAAGTGATTTAGAGTTTCTGAAGCAGATTATTCCATTTGTTTCTTTGGATTAGGAATTGCTTGGTTTTCATTAATGGACTGAAATTTGTCTCTTTGTAATGTCCCATAACACCTCAGTAGGTTTAAAATCAAAGCATGCAGGCAATTGGATATCCATATACTTCAGAATGTTCTCTACTGTTTGGGTTCATGTAGCAAGAAAAGTTTCTGCTTTGTCAATAACACTATGAAACAAGTGAACATATGCTCAATAATCTCTTTGCAGTATCAATCACCCCATCATTATGCTCCAGTTAACACCTGTAGCTCAGTTACATCTATCAATAATGATGCCAGCCTGCAACATCAGTACAACCTATCTTAAATACTTATTGCATACTATCCTTCTGGTATGCCTTACCTCTTAAATCCATATGAACTGATGCCTGAAATCTGATAGCAGATTGAATCGACACTCACCAGAGAGAAATGCATTGGTCCATTGCACTACTGTTTAGCTATGGTAGATCGAACATCACTGCAAATGCATTCTATGATGATCATGTTATTTGGATAGTGTCACACAGATGATCGGTCTTTGAGCATACAGCCCCATCTAATTCAATTTTTAAGCCAAAATTTTGTACGATATCCCCATTCATGTACTGCAGCAGAGATATTTGCAAGTTGGCTGGCCATGTAGCATTGATTGTGTTTAACTTCATTGCTAAACATTATGTTTTTGCAAAGTTATAAAGGAAAAGTCACTTCCAGCAGTGAATCTAGAACTTATATCAGTAGTTTATCATACTGCTCAAACCTAGAGAAAACAATGAGCAATTCCAAACTGTGTTGTAGCTTTGCTGATTAAAAGGATTTCTTTCAACTTTTCCGTAATCCTTCTGCATGTAAAAAGATGTCAGAAACACAAAGAAAAATTTCACGTTTGTATATTTATTCTTATACATAGTTCAACAGTAGCAAATGCAACCATGGCTGGTATTCGGATAAAATACTTAGAATCATTCAAGTGGGGCATTAATTACTTGCTACAAAGTGAGGGGATATCATGAGAATTTGCTCTTTGTTGGAAAGAGTGAATTTGCTTCTGAAGGGGGAAAATGTCTCCATGTCAACGGGTGATCCTGTCATCAGTTACTTTTCATGCCTTATCTTTATGTTTTATATTCACAGAAATAAATACAAAGCTTCACATTGACTTCTAACCCTGGAAACCAAAAACGTTAAAAGTTCCTCCCCCATAATGTACAAATTTTACATGAACAGTGCATATTTCATTATTTACCTTTAAAAATGAGATCATTGAAAATAATGTAATTATACTTTTTTAGTGGAAGTATGCTTTTTTATAGCCACCCACCTCCCCATGAGAAAAAAAGGTCAACAGTTTTTCACCCTATTTGAGTGGGATCTCTCCTGCTCAGAGTTGATTTAATGTGACATTAGCCAATACTGTGATCTTTTATAAAATAATTTTTGTTTATTCTTTTTTCTAAGATAATTTTTCCCCCTAAATATGTATAATAATGCACGGAAATTTTACAGCAAAAATTAAAAAAAGAAATACAGCAATTATAAGTATTATAATTAATTAAATAACTATAATAATAATTGATTATCATATAATTATTAAGAAATTTCTTTTTTTTCAGTCTGTATTAATGTACATACAGTTTAGATAAAAAAGATGTATAATAATGATTAATTATAGCACAACTATAATAATTTTTTATTACAAATAAATTATTATAATCAATTATAATAATTATTATATTAGAATTAATTATAATTATAATAATGAAAGTTATGCAATAAAATGTAATACTTATAATGACTATTATACAATAATAATTATTTACACTGGTTATCATAAATTAAGGAAAAATCACGATTACTGAAAAAGTTACATTTAGAATTTAATGAAACTTACCCACAATATACAACACATAGTAAGGTATCAAATAACATAAAAAGAAATTACCAGACAATTATGGTAGTATAGAAATTAGCACATGTATAAAATGAACAAATCGAAGATATCAGTTTGCTATAGTAAAAGTACCTTCAGTATGGAATATAATAGCCTCTAGAAGCAATACAGAACATTCAGTGATATGTGATGCTTTCAATTATGCGGTTGATCAGTTCCATAGGAAGCAAGAGCCATTGCTCTTGCGAAGAAGTTGCAAGCGCTGCAAGGATCTAAGAAGGCGGATTGACAGCAGCTAGATGTCTCCCTAAAGCATCCCAAACTTGCTCGATAGGATTCAAATCCGGGGATCAAGATGGCCACTCCATGCACATAATTGTTTCCTGTTGAAGATAATCATATACAATGCGAGCCCTGTGTGGTCTTGCATTGTCGTCCTGTAACAGGAAAGCATCACATATTGCCCCGGCATATGGGTGCACATAGGCATCAAGGATGTCATCTCTACAAACATGAGCATTCACGGTTCCCCTTGGAAAAACATGGAGGTCTGTGCGTACACCCAAAGAGATGCCATCCCAAACACAGACACTGCCCCTTCTGTATGTATCTCTTTCACGGATGTTTGATAGATGATAACGGATTCTAGGTTCGCTCCATATCAAATAACGCCTACTATCACTTCTGCAGCAAGAGAGGATCTAAAAAGAGTCAGAGTAGTGGTTCTAAACCTGCGTGCACATAATGTCAAATATCGGTCATCGGCGCTCGTCATAGCAGTTGGCCGTCCTTGGCTGAACCTCCTAGATGCCGAATCTGTGGTTTGAAATTGCCTCCAAGGTCTAT